TTTGGGCACACACATCAGGCATGTTTTTCAAGACACCGGGTCCAGGTCTTGAACCACACACTTGGCCATGTGAGATCCAGCACCTTAGCCACCACACCACGAGCTGACCCCACACCCAGAGTTTCCTAACTTACCAGCTAGTTCATGTGTCCCTTTTCCTCTTAGACTCTAACATTTCATGAAGAAATCTTGCCCTTACCTTTAAGTATTCAGAAAACAAAGTTGGGAACTGCTGAACAGATTCCAAAATTGTGACTTTTCCGAACCTTTCTGCTCTGGGGAAGTGTTTTGCAGGGGTAACTGGAAACAGACAGCCGGTGTCTCCCATCGTGTTTTCAGTAAGGAGAGGGTGAACGCAGATGTTGTGAGACAGAAACAGAAAAGGTGTCCTGTTCGGCTCTGAGAGACAAAGGGCCACACTACCACCGGTTAATGGTAACTGCTTCACCAGGCACGGCTTTGTTTTTGGCAATTTTATTTTATTTTTAACTCACCTCTGCAATAGTCTCACTGGGGTAGCGTGCTTGCCTCCTAGCTGGGCTCAGGGAGGACCTGCGCCTCGCTCTCTCCCGTCACAGTCACGGTCACCGGTGTGGCCTCCGCCCCTCCAGGCGCTCTCACTTCCCCCAGTATGTGTTTTACTTCAGAACCAGCGAAATCCTCGAGTTCCAGTAGGGCCAGGGCCAGGAGGCAGTGTGAATGGGGCCTAAAGCCCCGCTGGGGGGAGTTTTACCGGAGGCTGAGAAACTAGCATTTTTCATGTGGTTAGTTGTACTTCTTTTCATTTTACCTGGCTGTTTGCAAATTAAAGGGGTTTTTTGGAAGAGTAGAAGAATACTTTTCGACTTGGGCAAAAGCTGAAACCCAGCGGTGGTGCCGATTCAGTCCTCAGCGATGAAAGGAAAGTGAGCTTTTCTAACAAGGAAAAAGTCAAATTGATCCGATGACCTCCACTTACAGACCATTACCGCTGATCCAGTATGCAAGTCTGTTTTCAGTTTTCTCAGGGTTAAGTTAAAAATAGGCTCCAGGCTAAAGAATGTGCTGGAATTCTGGGGCCCCATCACACGGGTCTTAATTGCTACTAGTTTTTTTCAAACATATGTTATTGATATCTGTCCATGCATTATAAGAACAAGAAGCACTTGCGAAATATTTTACTTTAAATAAGACCAACTTATTTCCATTATTCAAATTGTAGGAAGCAACGTTTAGGCACTCTACCCATAAATGCCCTAGGTCGTTGGTGGTAAACAGCTCTGAAATCCTCGGGCCTGCCCCACAGGGCTGGATGAACGGCTCCAGGCCCAGAACCCACGGCCACTGGAAGCACCGATAATTCTCTTACACTGGCTGCTTTGGGATCTCTAAGCAAAGGCTACCTAAAATCTCTTATCGATTACATCCAGGTGAGGTTCATTTTTCCTATACACAGAACACTGGGAATTTACCCACTTTTATTCTTCACTGAAATGAGTGCCTTTAGATTTCTAATTATATTGTCTAATAAAACTAAACAGCCAATGCTATTTGCACACTATATGAATAAATGTCATACAACAAACTCGCAGCAGTCAATTAACATAAAAGCTCATTATATATCTCATCAGCTTACAAGTTTCTGAACTCCAGCTTCCCTGCCGTCGCCTAGGGCAAAGAAGCTTGAATTTTCACTCCTGAATACTGACTTTTAACTAATATCGGCAGTGACTCCAATTTTTATGGATGGAAAGTTAGTGATTAAACTAGGTGCACTATCTGCTCTAATGCAATTAAAATTTCTACGTTAACTAAACCTCTAGGAAAAAAATCTTTGCAACAATGTGAAATTAATTAGCAGTCACTAAACAGGTTAAGGACTGGTTTCCTATCTGAAGGACGCTGGGAAACAATAAGGGAGAGCGGGATTTCCCGGAGGCGGCCAGACCCTGCCGGCAGAGGCACCACGACAGTGTCCAGGAGGCCACTGTGCTGCAGCATAACCGTGTCCTGCCTGACTCGAGAGCTATCAGGCAAGGAATTTACGACGAGACTAACGGAGAGACAGGCGTGGACAGACACGGGACGTACCCTGTAACTGACCGTTTTTAAAGCTCGTCATCGTGGTCTGTAACACTCCCAGCCCCAATTTTCTAGAGACACTAGAGACGGAACGTTCAACTACTTTTTCCCAGTGAAGTTGGAACGCGGGTGTTCCCACCTCCCAGTCTACTGCTCACGTAAACGCACACGTCTGAAGCCTTAAAAGAAAAAAAAAGGAAGGAAACGACATCAACTGCGTGTGGTTTAGAGCTGTGGTTGGAAAACTGGGCAAAGGGCTTTCTGGGGTCACAGCAGTGCGAGGTAACAACACGGTGATCGTGGTCGTCCGCACTTTGCTCACCCGAGCCCAGTGAGTCCGAGGGTAAAGCGAGGCAGGGAGGAAGGCAGCGCCCGCTGCATGGGACTGCGCCCGGGACCGCGGCCCTTCCCATTCATATTTTAATGAGGCTGGGATCTCGAGCGGGTCCTGGAGGGCGGAGGCCAGGCTCCCGGAAGATTACAATAGGAGTCGCCTTATTGACAAGTACTATTCAAAATCCTCAGTATAGAAAGACTTGGTTTATTCCATTCGTCCCAATAGTTATTGCACTCTTATAATCAAAACACTTTGAGGAGGAAAAAAATGACCCATTATTCCATGAACAGTCTTTAAATTTACTGAAGGTAGTCAGCTAAGTAGAAACAAATAACTCTAATTATGTACATGTTAATAAATGTATAAAGAGCTACAATGTGAGAGCATCTTGTTTTTAAATATTCCTAAAAAATCATCGATCTTTCGAGATTTTTAATTAAAGTATTTTTCTGCCCTCTCTAAAGCCAGCTCTACTGGTCTAACTGGGGTGTTTCCTCTTTTCTGTTTAAATGAAGATTTTAAGGCCGGGTCTTCAGAACCATCTGCCAGCAAACGTTGCCTAGTTTTAAGGACTACGTACTGCAAAGCGCTAGCTGATCACGCCCTAAAGCCAGCCAGCCTTCACTGACTCACCGAATCACAGAAACCACACACGGACGGGTCGTGCGTTGTTAAGAGGCACACTCAAACACCAAATAAGGAAAACTGCTGTCAGGTAGAAAGTTTTAAGTGGGGGCTGTTTTCAAAGAGTGCAACCCAGGAAATGAATAAAATGCCTCTTAGAAGTAAGCCGTGGAGGGCTTTTGCACGCGCACATCATTTTTCTCCAAATTCATGTGCCGGCCAATGTTTGCACACGGCTCAGAACGCCAGGTCCGTTTTTAACAGGCGTCCCTCGAGCGGCCTCTGGCCTCTGCTCCGCAAAATCCTGGGAGTAGTAGGAGGGTGATGGGCTTCCTCCCCGGGAGCGCAGTCCCTCAGCAACCAGCCCGGCCCTCCGGTCACATCCCTCGGTCCTCCTCCCCCAGTGCCAAGTCTGTTTACTCTTCGGAAGGAGAGCGAGCACCGAGGCCGAGGCCGGGGAGGGAGACAATGACGCTCTTGATCACAGATTTTTAAAGGCATCTACTTTTCACTTTCAAGCCAACGGCTGCTTCGTTGCCTTCGGAGCTGCTGGGTAGGCTTGATATGGACCAGGGGAGGAAATACACTTGAAGCACACGCAACACAGGAAAAAAGGCAACGCTAGGCATGCCATTCGTTAACGACGGGCTTGATGGCAATTTAAGAACCTGATTCTGCGCTTGATAACTTTCTCCTGACTAATGTCCCTAACCCTTGGTTTCTGTCCGTTCAGATAGATTTTCTGTCTTGTTGGTTTACAGAAATAGAAACATACTCAGAAGGCATAATTAAGACGTTAATGAAATGCAACCTGCATTTGGAATGTGCATTGTGGGCCATCCCTGAGCGTTCTCAAAGTCGGTGTTTAGTAAATAAATATTGTGGTATATTCGGGCTGAATAAACGATTTAACTGCAAATTTGAATGCAGGGGCCTTAAAAACAGTTCAACATCAAACTCCGCGGGCTGGGGGGAGGGGGTCTGATTACCTGTGCACTGGGCAGGTGCAGAGGGTAGTCAGTGGGTCTGGTCTCTCTCTCACTTTCTCCTCTTCCCAAGTTTCTTTTCAAGTGTTTTACAGAGTTGGCTCCTTAGTGAGACTGGGGCTGGCGGCGGGCGCTCCATAATGGAATCTGGGCTCGGAGCACCCGCGCACACCCACCGCACTGCCTCTCACGTCCGCGCTGACGCGGCTCCTCGGATTCTGGCCGGATGGCGGTGAAGCGCGGAGACCCTTTGTGCGGCAGAGCGCGCCTGTGAATGCAGCGCGGTCTTGGCACCGGAAGGGTTCACACTGCGTCTGAAAGGGGACAATGGAGGCTGGATATATCAACACTGCCCAAATCGAGTTCATTTGCGATTCAGCCCCTTTCACTACGTTGTCATGCAAACTTCCTACTTTGATCAGCAGAGGGTGGAGAGCGAAAAGCCCGCAAAGGCCTTGGGCCCCGGCGCGGTCCGGGCGCCCTTGGCGGCTCCACGCCCCCTGCAGGAAGGAGCCGCGGGGACGCAGCCTCCTGCACCTTGACCTGTCTAGACGGCCCCGAAGTTTTTGTCTCCGTTACCAAGGGCGAGGGGTGCTCTTTGACCCGCGCCCGGGGCGGAGGTGGTGGCCCTGCGGAATCTTCGCAGAATTCCGGAGGGACTGGGGCCCTGGGGACGCGCACCAGCTGTTCCCAAGGAGAGCTGGCGGAGCCGCGGGGAGACATGGCGCTCCGAGCCGGGTCCTCTCCTCGCCCCACCTCCACTCGGCCTCCGGCGTCGCCGGGCTGCTGAGGACCCGCTGCCAGGAGGAACGCGACCCCAGGGAAACTTGGGGCTCTCCAACTTCCCCCTGAGCCGGAGGAGGGCTCAGAGACCAGATCCGAGTCGTGCTCTCTTGCCAGCCCTCGCCCCGTCCCTCTCCCTCCCGCCAGTGGCGGAAGATGAGGGCATTTTCTGGGTTTCATGCTTGATTCTGTTTGTTCCATGACTCTAAATGCCTGGATGGGTCATGGCTAAGTAGTTTCTAGTTTGAACGTTAAGTTTTTTCTGCCCGCGTTCAAGTGCGTGCACCTTTTCCGCTAGAATTTAAGCTAGCCCCTTCCATCGTGTCAACGATGGCTTGGAAGAAACCCCAGCAGGAAGTGGACATGCACTTCCCCACGCGCGTCCCGGAAGCTGGGAAGCTGCGGTGTCCCCAGCCAGGCCCCTTCCCCTGCTGTGTCCTTCTCTGCAGATCCCCCTGGCCCAGTCCGAGGCCTTCCTCACCGACCTTTTGGACAACGTGTGTGAGCGGATGAACGACTACAAGCTTGAGGAGGACCCGGTGACCAAAGAGAAAAATTTCAAGAGATTTGCTCCCAGGAAAGGAGACGAAATATACAAAGAATTTAAAAAATTCTTTTTTTATTCCGATGCTTACAGACCTTTGAAATTCGCGGTAAGCGTGCCCTGCCCTGTTTTCTGGTTCTCTTTCGCAGCCCTTTTGTTGTGGAGTCTGGAGTCGGGTTAGGGATGTCTGTGCTCCCTGGTCTTGCTTTCCCCAGCAGCCTCGGGTACCCTGCCTCGCAGACCTGGGTCAGGGCTCCGCGGTGCTCGCCGGGGCTCGGCAGGGAGCTTTCCCCAGGGTGCTGCTCACTCCCCCTGGTCTCAGCTCACATTTGCTGGACCGCTGCTCAGAGTGGTCTCCATCCGTCCTGTCCAAGTCCCACATGGCTTTCCGCGGACGCCAGGGGCTTCTAGGTTAAACTCCAAATTGCAATGAATGTTGTTTTCAAATATTTATAGCCAAATGATGGAGGGAGTGACAGAACCATCTCTCTCTCTCTCTCTCTCTCTCTCTCTGGTTTCACAAAAGAGAATTTCTTTTCCAAAATTAATTCAAGTATTCCAGCACAAATTAAGCTAAACAAAGGCTTAGGTATGATAGTTGCTGGAATGCCTCATTTCCCTTTACTGTGTTTGTTTTCCTGGCTGGGGCCTCTGGCATGCTAGACTGTACCTGGAGAAATGCTTGCCCTGGGCTTCACTCTGCGTGATGCTGTTGAAGCGGAGCGACGGGTAGGCTTGAGCAAAGGGACGTTCCGTTCACGCATTGGCCGAAATGCTAGGCATGGGACCTGCTTGAAATGGGGCTTCCTCGGAGTCTGGAAATTTTTATTGTATTACAAAGTAAGGGCCATGAGTCAGGGATCAAAGTGCAGCACCCTAAAATAGTAATGACTGAGTGAGTTTGTATTTCATGGGCTTAAAATGCACATATCATTGTGCGATTTAAATATTTTCAACTCCTTTGAAAACGTGAGCTTTGCTTATGAACTCAGAAAATGATTTGAAGATCTAGTAGCGTCCCGCAGTAACGTCACCGTCACCGCTCCTGACGATGTGACCTGGAAAATACTGCAGTTAGCACGTGAGGCCTTCAGGGGCCACGTCTGCGCTGCCCCCTCTCTGAAATGGCGGCCTTTTTTGGGGGAAAGCAAAGTGAAACTGGATGGGTCTCTAATGGTGTGAAGGGAGCAGCCCTCGCTGGCAGGCACTCGGCCACAGTGAAATGGAAGATGCGTTTGTTTGGATTGCCGAGAAGGCTTAATTGTTTTCACACTTTCCAACCACAAAATGGATTATTATGTTAAATCTGAAGGAAGCTGGTTTAACCATTTCAATGGGCTATATTCTCTGAAATGTGCTAAAAATGTTAAAAATGGAGACTTTTTCCCTCCTGAAGTAGGACACCCAACCCTTCCGGGGACTGGCCGTCTAACTTAGGGGCGAGAAGTAACACAAAGGACAGCTCCCTCCTGCCCTCCCCGGCTTTCAACAGGGCTGACCGTTTAGGCAGGTCCCAGGAAAACGATGCAGTTAACATTCTGGAAAGAGGGTTAGTCCAGTGCAGCCATGTAGTAAGCCGAACGGGCGAGGACCATGGGCTCGGCGGCCCCTGAGCTGCGGGGACGCCCGCTGACGGCCTGCTGTCTCTGCAGTGTGAGACCATCATTGAGGAGCACGAGGACGACATCTTCGCCCTTCTCACCCAGGAGGCACACTCCCTGGCTGACAAGCTGTGCACTGAGAAGTCAGGTACTGTGTTGGGGACATGGCTGCCCCTCGCTCGCCCCTCCCCGGCCTGCCAGCCCGCCGCCTCCCTGTAGCCCCCCTGCCCTGCCGGTTCTGGGCTCCTGAGACAGGGCGCACACAGCAGCCCCAGGGGCGGGCTTCCTGTGGCGCCTCCTCCTTGGCCTTGCGAGGGATTCCCCAGTCCTCCTTCCCAGGTAGGTGAAGCCAGAGCACCCTGTTTTTGTAACCCGGCCCAGGAAAGAGGAGTCTGACTTCCTGACTCACGTACTTGCTGCATTCACAGAAGCTGAAGTTTGATTTTGTAAGAAAGTTTTAAAGTTTCTGTTTGGTGGAGAGGGGGATTGTTTTTTTCAGGCTTGTTCTCCATAGTGTCTATTTCTTACATTTTTTTTCTGCCATATTCTTACACACACACACACACACACACAGGGGCTAGGAAAACACGAGGGAGCTTTGGTGTCTGAGAAGTGGAAACCCATTACCACAGGCCAGCCGACTCGCCACGTCACAGGGGTGTTTGTCTCCAAGAATGTAAGCGCAGGGCAAGAAAACGGGGTCTTTACAAAGACAGCCCTGAGAGCCAGCGACGCCCTTGAACAGCGCGGAGGCTTGAGACATTTCCCAGTTACTACATAAAGCAGTCCACCAGCAGCCACTGCCCCAACGCAGGCCCATCCCGCCACAGAGCAGCTGCTGCACGTTCGTGGGTAAGCTCTTCAGGAAGGCCAGAAGGCCCCGGGGACAGGACAGTCAGAGTTTTCTTCCTCTGCGTGGATAGTTGGGCTGCTTCCTGTTTAAAAACCAGTTTTAACGGGCGTTTGTCCGAGAGTGTTAGGAAGGAGGGAGTCAGGGTGGCTGGGAGTCGGAGCTGTGTTCCTCGGACGTTGAACAGAGTGTAGACGCCTCTGAAAGCCACCTGGTTCATAGCCATTCCGCCCCACAGAGTGCTTCTGAGGTTTGCCAGAGAACTCGGGAGCGTGTGTGCTGAAGGACCAAGAAGGCTCGGTGTGCAGTGCGTGAAGCATTTGTTGCCCCGGTGTTTTATGAGCGTTTGTACTGGTCACGTCACGTGTGACCCAGGCTGCGCGCCCTTGCCCGGGAGTGCCAGAGGACTGCGCTGCTGCCACTGTGTCCCAGTCTCCGTGCCCAGATGGTGCAGCTCTGGGCAAGACCCTGCACCCAACTTCAGCTGTGTGGCTGCATTTTAATATTAATTACCTCTCTTCATTCCTTCTGTATATTTATGATTAGAATTAAAATGAGTATTAACCTTGGGAAAATATAAGTTTAGAGAAGAAAGCTAAGATGCGTGTGCTACTGCATATACGTGAGGCCGAGCGTGGCGCTTAGTTAGCATTTGTGTTTTAAGAACCCAGGGGCTGCCACGGTAAACAGAGCTGCTGTGACAGGTCGCCGTGCAGCCGTGTGACTGTGGACTGTGCTCTCTCAGCCTTCGGTGGGGCCTGAACCATTCGGAACTTACCAACTGAGAACAGACTAATCTAAAACTGACCAGACTCCTTGCCCCTCTTTCCCGAAAACCCTCCTGCTGGTGTGAGTTCACACCCATTAACAAGACAGAGTTTTTCACATTTCAAAGTGATTGCCAGAAAAGGCGAGGGCACCATATCTGTTCTGAAAAGTCCAACCAATGTCTGTGATAACAGTGAAGGAAACGCTTCGATGCCGGGCAGGCATCAGACAGCTCTGCAAAGGGGGTGTGGTACTGGAGAAGAGCCCCAGACGCCACTAAGACACCTGAAGCGCAGGTGTGGGCCCCTGGCAGGGCACGGCCTTCGTGCCCGGGCGAACAGGCTGCACTCTGCTTCGTGTCGTACAAAGGCTTTGCTAAGACATGGTCTCCACATCTCAACCCGTGTTAGAGGTGGCCGCGAGCGTGTGCATGCACGCGTGTGTTCATGTGCACGCTGGAGCTTACGGAGCTGTGCCTTGCCAATAGCTGAATGCACGCCACACCAAGACCCACACATGATGTTAAAGGGCTCTTCAAGTATTCACGTCCTGCTTTTAGCAAGATAGATAGTTATTTGGGCATTTCTAGAACTAGAGATTTGATTAGATGCTTAGTCCTTCTCTATACTGTTTGCTTTTTCCCTCCTACTCAATACAGAACACTTTATTTGTGATCATTGGCAAATGAGGGCACAGTTGTACACTCTTCAAAATAGAGAGGCTCGAACCCTCACCTCCACACACACAGAAAAAGACAGGAGAATGCCAAAGAAAATATACCCTATGTCAGATTTAAGATGGCCGTGTTCGGGTTGAAAACAAAAATCCCCAAAAACATGTGTGATGGTTCCATAAACATTCTTTGTTATCTTTTTGATGAATTAAAAAAAAAGTCAGAAAAAAAATTTTTTTTTTTTGGAGAGGTTTTCGCTATAGGGCACGTGCGCTCGCCAGACAGACAGAGAGAGACAGAGAGACAGAAAGCTAGAAATCACCCCCCAGGGGGGATGGCCACGCCGCAATCCCTTCTCCTCCATTCTCCTCTCGGGATCTTGGGCACGCACGCACACGCGCCCGGTGTGAGTTTAAGCCACCGGGTCTGGGACTCGAACGGTTGTCGACTATGTGAGTCCAGTGACATAGCCATTACGCTAACTGCTGGTCCCCCCCAGAAAAAAATTTCTGGTGTTGCGGGGACCTATGCGTGTCATTGCTGTTGTATATGCTGGGGACAGCAGAAGTTGTCAGGGACACCCCATACTGGGACAGTGAGGCAGAGTCCCGGGGCGGGGAGGAGCTTGGCCTCACGTAATCTTTTCCTTTTCTAGGCAAAAATTAAAGCAAGTTCGTTAGATTTTCCTGGAGGAATATTTCGTGGCATGTAACCCAAGCATTTCTGGGTTGTCATTCTGATGTCGTGAAGTCACAATGATTAAAATCTTTATAAATAAGATGATTTAAAGGACTGGCCCATCCCACTCAAGGTTGGGAACAGCATCGCACTGTAGGCTGTACGTTAGGGGCACTCTGTGTTCACGAGGTTAACGGTCCAACGGGCTGCGTGAGGGAATACTATTAACACATAAACAGAGTCTCATGTGTCACTGCTGCTCTGATCCCCTCTGCAGCCTTCGAGAGCTTCAGGAGGGGTGACTGGCCACAGGAGCATTTGGGATGCAGTCGTGGAGGAGGATAGCCATACCTAGAAATGCTTAGCCCACATTGAAAGTCAAAGCGTTTGTACCTTTTCGTATAGACTTCCCAGCACTAGTCGGGTGTTCAATTCCATTCTGTAAAATACTTACTTTCAGAGGCTAGCATAGGTGAGTAAATTATGTGGCTAAAATAACCTATAGCCTTTCTAAACTGAGTTGGCGTTTGTTGCTGCCAGCTGGAAGGCAGCATGTATGGAAGTATCTGTCTGCCTGTCCATCCTGGGAGTGAATGCCAAGTGTGCTGTGCTGCTTAGGAGCTGTGAAATGTCTCTGGTGGCCCCTCTTTAAGTACTCCCATACCTTGGCCTTGCTTCAAAGTGCTCTGGCCCGAGACGGCTGGGGGATGGGGTGAGAGTGTCCGAGAGCTGACAACGGTCAAAGCAGGGTTTGGGGGTGTGCTACGAGGTGCACCCTCTCAACGTCGGGAAGGTGTGCTTCTGCAGAAGGGTGATGGGTGATGGGTGACCCAGGAGACGGGTATTCACTGCGGTAGTGATGCTGTCCGGTTTTGTTTTCCAGACCTGTGCTCCGCTTCGACTAATCACACTGAGCTGTAGGAACGCCGCGCTCCGAGCTCTACTGGAGAAGTCCGGGCCCCAAAGGTCTCTGTCTACATCGATGTTGCTTGTTGTCTGCCATAATAAGACGTGATGTCTCTCGTTTATCCCATGTTTGTGTCGTGTAATTTTTTTTTTTTTTTTTGCAAGTCTGTTGTTTGGTGTCTTGACAGACCCTGACTCTCTGGGCGAGGCCGATGAGGACATAAAGCTTAAATCACCTTTACAGACTTTGATAAACACAAGCTTGGTAATAAGCGCTTAGTCTGGTAGTGGCGGAAAAGTGAAGACGTTTCACAGAGTGAGTGGGATTTCTGACCGCGTCCGGAGAGCTGGGGCAGGCGTGCACAGGTGCGCGTCAGCGTGCCCACTGGCGTGACCGCGAGCTTGCTCAGCCCCTCCCTTGCCCATGACTTGGAGGAAACACATTGCAAACGAGCTCAAGTTCAGTTTTCTGGTTAGGTGTGACTACTGGTGAAAAAGGCGTACCCACTTTCCATCGGGAACAGAATGTAAACTGTTAGAAACCATCCGAGTACAGACTTGTTCGTTTCCAAAGTGCACTAGAGGGCATGTGGAATGGATGAGCGCCTTCTGTAGAGAGCAGCACTTCTGTGGCCTCAGACACGCGTCCTGAGCCAGGCACATGCAGCGCGGTTCTCGTTGCACGGTGTACTCGAAGGTGACTCCAGCAGCCATGCTTTGTCTCGCTGCAAATCCCCACCTCCCTATAGCTTTTCAGGTGACGTTCAGCATGTGGCTGTTAGTCGCAGATAAGTTACCGCTTCTCTGCAGGCATGTTTTTGGAGGTATGGACTCGAAGGGGACATGGGGCCTGGTGGGAAGCCCCCTTCGACCACACTTCACATGAGGCAAGGTGCGGCGACGGTCACGCTTGGGCATCCCCTTGTCTCTGCTAAATTTGCAGAATTAAAGGGGTCTGACTTTAACTCTGTCAAATGTCAGGGTATCGTCTACACCGATCTTAAAAGAAAAATTCTCATCATTGTCAGTAAGGAGCGGGTAGGATGATGCAGATTCCGACCCAAGAGAGTGAAAAACTGTTGGCCATATTGATATGTAGCTGCCCAGAAAGCCAGTGTGCGAGCAGCCAAAGAGCTCCTCGGCAGGAGAGAATGGCTTACATTTAGGAAAGCCTGCCACACTGAGTACAGAAATCAGACAGGAGGTGTCTAACTTCCTTTCCCAACTCTTTTTGGAAGTCAGACTCTTACGTTAATGTCACATGCTTACTTTGGGAACTGAGAAGGCGTGCGTTGGGCCGCACCTGGCGTGGGGTAGTCACCCCTGCACAGCCGATGTGCCCGCGGTGCCGCTGGCGGGAGGTGAACAGGACTTAAGGGTCATGAGCGCTATGTTCCAGTCGGGTTGTAAAGCTGTTATGAAAACACAGCCTTAGACCTTTACTGAGGCCTACCTGCGTCTGATTTGCCATTTTGAAGTAATAGGTCATAAGCATTTTCCTAACTTGGGCTTTTTTGGTAAATGCACTAAAAAGGAGCACTGTTTCTTCAATGCGACCTCCACGGGAACGTGTGGACGCCACGAGCCTCTGTGAGAGTCGTCGCGATCGTGACCGCAGAGGTGCTCGTCCCCACGTGCGCTGGGAACTGTAGGCCTTCTCGCACAGGCTGCCCACACCGGCCCAGAGCCGGAGGAAGCCTGTGCTCGCCAGACCGAGGGGCCTGGCACCGGCTTCTCCCCGAAGGAGGCTCTCCATGGATGCTGGGCTTCTGCTGTGAATGGAGAGAGCCGAGCATCCGGACTCTCACAGGGGATATCCAAGGGCTTTGCTAAATATGGCTTCTCGGTTTTTCTTAGATTCCCCAGCTAAGATGACCTCGTGTCTTACAAGCTTCTTGTGACTCGTGTATCTTTTATTTGCATAAATTTCTGCAGACCAAACTTGTTCCGTGTGTACATTGTGGGCTGTGGGGCTGCTGCTGAGACCACACGCACCGGCCACCGCCCTCCCAGTGGCAGGCACTCTGGCGGGGGCCTCGGGGTGGCCGGCGTGGCCCTCGTGGTCGCTGTTAGGCCGCTGCTTTTGCTAGCGAATAATGGCTAGACGGAATGGCTGCTGTGTTGGTGCCCTAGCCCCGAACGTGATTTTTAAATGGCATTTATTGACTAGAAACAAAATAAAAACAAACGAACAAACAAACTGGGAAGGAAAACAGAAACAGAAGCAAGCAACACCCAGGTACACGAGGAAAGTTCCCCAGAGCTGATGAGAAGCACCCGAGTCTAGGCCCAGAGCCATCCCTGCAGAACACACGTGGGAGCGGCGTGCTGACACTCGTGCCGAGAGGAGACATGTCCGGGGCTGGGGTTTCCAAGAGGACTTCTGTGAGCTGGGCCGGGTGTCCCCATCAACAAAGGCCCAGACTGCTCAAGAGGAACGGTCTGGGTTTTGTTGGGTACACTCCCGCTTGCCAAGAGTAAACCGAGGAGCCCAAGTCCCGAAAGGGAAAGATCAATACTTTATTTACTAAGACAAGCCCTAAAAAATCGAGTCGATAGCTGGTTCCTATTTTTCTACCTATTTCTCAGCTTAGGCCGATACTTATTCACATATGCAATTACTCTATCTAAATAAAAAATCTAAACCGTATACCAATTTTAAGATTCAGATGGGAATGGAGTGAGAAAAAGCCATTTTGGGATGTGATTGTGTGAGCTGTTTTAAAATTGGATACAAATTTGTGAGCTAATCCTAAGTGTGTAGAAACTCGCTTAGTTTGACACCAAGATGCAGTTAACAATGATATGAATTCATGATAAAAATATGCCTGTTAGCTGCAAGTGTGTTTCCTAAGGATTCTCAGCACCTCTAATTCAGTTCTCCTTTCTGAATTTCCTAAGCCCTCAGAATGTTTCAAGAGTAAGGAGCTAAGTGGAAAGACGGTCAGATGCCGTCAGGGAAGGCTGAGCACGCGTGTCCTTGGGTCGCCCGGGACAGGTGCAGTACTTGAGGCTGACCCTCTCGGGCCTGCCGTGGCCACCCATCCTGACCGCGCGCCTGTTGAGGGAAGGCCCCACGCTGCCGTCCACAGTCCGTGGTCTTCCCTGAGCCGAGGATGCTGGCGATGTAAATAGCAACGGGCCCCTTCGCCTGCTGGGTCATTGCCAGGGAACAAGGCTTTGCCGCCGGGCAGTCTGTGCAGGTGGGTCTGCACCAGCTCTGCACCTCCAGTTCCCAGGGAGAGCTCGAAAGGCCTGGACAGGTGGAGGGGGAGAGAAGCACAGCTATGAAGGCCCAAACACACATGGGAGGCACACGGACACACACACGTGAAGGCATACGGCACACACATGGTGCACACACGAAGGCGCACACGTGAAGGCACGCAAACATGTGAAGACATACATCACACACATGGAGGCATGCAAACACATACGTGAAGGCACACAGATACACACGAAGGCATCACACATTTGGAGGCATGCAAACACACATGAAGGCACACAATACACATGTGAAGGCATACATCACACACATGGAGACAGACAAACACACCTGAAGGCATACAGCACACACATGAAGGCTCACAAACATGAAGACTCACAAACACACACGTGAAGGCACAGAAACACACATGACGGCACACACACACAAAGGCATGGAACACTTACAGGAAGGCACACACACGTGAAGGCACACACGTATGAAGGCACATGCATACACGAATACAAATGAAACTGGGACGGGATCCAGGGTGGTCAGCTGAAATTTTGAGTGCTCCAGGGCTCCCTCCTCGTGGGAGGGCCACACGGCCACACCGGAAGTCTCTCAGCATGTGTGTCGTTACGGAAAACAGACCAGGAAGGCGCGGGTTAAGTCACGTCTCCCAAATGTGACGCAGAAGACAAGCTGGCAAAATAAGGTGAGCGATTAGATGGGCAGTCCTGTCCCCAGGAGCCCAGGCAGGGGACATTCCTGTGCAGGTGGAGGTGGAGCTCCCCTTAGAGCCCAGCGGGAACCCAGTGACCCCGCCTCCTAGGGCGCGAGTGCTCCGTGGCTCAGGGACACAAGTCATTGAGGAGCCTGGGGTCCCAGTGTCAGCTGACCCCTCCGCAGGGGCGCAGAAAGATCCCCAAGCGATACGCTGAAATAGCAATCGGACGACCCGTTCCGAACACCCTGAGCGGCAGGGCAGCCCCGAAGAGCCCGGGTGAGCTGCGCCGTGTGTGAAGTGCTTGCGTCGGGGCAGGTGTCTGAACGAGCGGGCATCTCTGCACTGCGGCCTCTAGCACAGCCAGTAAGGTGACCATCGTCTTCCAGGAGACTCCATGGTCAACGGGAGGGATTTCAATCGGGCAGTTCATTGTCTGATGGAAATGCGTTCTCCTGAAGGGCAGTGTGAGGCACTTTCGTGCCCCTGGTTTATAGGAGACAGTGGAGAGCCCAGTGGACTATGGTCCCTATGAAAAGGGACCCCATTTAAAGCAATGTCGTGTTACACAGCAAAATCGAACACAAATCTGTATTCAATAAGTGTTATTAAATTATTAGGTCTTTAGGTGAAAAAATACCCTTGAACTGCCTTTATATGCAATCAAAGCCATGATTAAATATTAATAGCCCAAGATTAAAGGGTCGTGCTTTTTTTTTTTTTTTTTTTTTTTAAGCAATCCCCGCCACGGCAAACCGGAGATGTTGTAGGGCTCCATGCATAAGCTTGGCCGGTGACAGGACCTCAGCTGCATGTGAGAGGGGAGACCCCAGGGAGGCCCCAGGCTGCAGGGGCCTAGCGACCCCGTGGGAGGCTGGGAGTGTCGCAGTCCTGGTCTTGCCAAGATGGAGCTCGGTGTTCTTCATGCACTCATGGGGGCTGTTGCAAGGCCCGTTTGCAGAAAGATGTGCCAGGGGTGGAAGAAGTTGGGCCTTTCAGAGCTGCCTGGGCATCCAGCATCCTTAGACAAAGCCGTAAGGATGTAAGAGACACCAGCCATTTTACTCCAGTAAACACGAGTGACACGAAGGCTTAAGAAAGCCATGGGCGGGACCAGCAGTT